ATACGGAGATTGAAGTTCAAGGCTATCTATCCTCAGCTACATACGGAGATTGAAGTTCAAGGCTATCTATCCTCAGCTACATACGGAGATTGAAGGCAAGCTTGAGTTACCCGAGACTCTGATCGCAGTCTCAAAGTAAGTAAATAAATAAACAAACCACTTCCCTCTTGAAAGCAGAGCATCCTTTCCTGACTCCTTCCATCTGAGAAGCATGGATCCTTCCCTCATAGTAAGAGCACCGGAGATGGAATGTAGACAGAGCAGGCAGTTCAGCCTGACTTTGCAGGGTGTCCCTACAGAGCGCAGGTGCACTGCTGAGCACTGAGCACTGAGCCCTCCTTCCCTCCTCCCATAACTGAGGAAGCAGGAGGGACAATCTTTTGTGTCATTCAGGTCCTAACTGTTGTCACTTACAGTTTCTTTTTCTCAGCAGCAATTGTGAGTGGGTTCATCTCCGCGTCTTGCCTCCTGTTCGTTTTCAAGCTTGTCGGGAACGTGACCTCGTGGGCGAGCCTGGCTGTTGGTCGTTTTCCACTCCAGGCTTCCCATTTGGGTGGAGTCAGGGGTGGGGGTCTGGCTTAGCAGAGTTTAAGTAAAGAAACAGCTGGACTAGCAAGCATTCACAGGGGTCTGGTGTTTTCTATTCAAATTGTAGCGGGCTGGAGGCACCTTGGAAAAGAACCATCAGACTGTATTTCTTACATTTCAGCTTGAATCTTACATTTGGGGGTAGGGCGCATAAGAGTGGATGAATAAAGGAGTTATATGAAAGGTAGAACCCCCTAGAGTGTAGGGCCCCCAGTCCCAGCCTCTGCTCCCACCAGACACACTATGCTGGCTCATCCTGGGGGCCGGAGGAGGACCTCGCCCTGAGTCACCCTGCAGTCTCCACAAAGCTCTAGCTCTAGGATAGGTGAATGCAGTCTTGCCTTGTCAAGCTGGCCTGTGGGAGAGGAGGGAACTGGGAGGACAGCAGGACTCGGCTTCACACGCTACATCAAGACTCCTTTCTGCCCAGCTCAGTCTTTCAAGATGGCAAAAGCCTGTGTCTCGGCTCCCCTGAACCCCATGCAGGGAAACCACACTTCCCATCATTAGCGGGGCTGCAGCCCAACATGGACCAGCTCCTAC